AGTCCCACGGGCCGAGCCTTCCGGACTTGTGCAACTGGGGACCCGGAGTGGGAGGGGGCCGGGGGGGCGCCCATGGGGACCGACTCGCGACACCCCTGCGCTGTGGCAGGGCCTCTGACCCCCAAGGTGATGGCGCTTGGGGCCTGGAATTCCCGCCTTCTTCCTTCCCCGCTCTCAGATCATGAGGCCAGAAGGGAATCAAGCGGTCGGTCCAGCGGATTGGGGCGCAGCGGGAGCCCGGGGGCCGTTGCCCGGGTTCTTTGCCCTTCCTGGAGCCGAGTTCCGCTCGGGCCAGCGCTTCTGTGTTTGTCTTTGTCTTTTTTCTTCTCTCCACTCTTCCCAATATTTCTTGCTCCACTGTTAGTCCCCCCCCCCCTCAAGTGGGACATCTTTTCTGAGCAAAGGACAGTTCCCCCCCCCCCACCGAGTATTTCCATAGCTTACACCTGGACTGCGTAGTGACCTTGGCGAAGTCTTGGAACCTCCTGGGCCTTTGTGGAAAGTGGAGGAGGGTGTTCTCTAGGTCTGTTTTCCTGAAGATGCTTCCAAAATTCAGCCCCGGAGGACTCGGACAAGGGAATGAAGATGTTCACGCCCCCTCCACACCTCGCCCCAAACAGGGGTGGAGCAGTGTACCTAAGCCCAAAGTCACCTAGAAAAGAAGGGCTTTAGGAACGAGTTTTATATTAAAATGGGGGAGTAGACTAATTTAATTCTTATTTTGAAAACTTCTGATGTAAGACATCACTTCGGGAAATAAAAATTAATATAATGCTTTCTTACGACTCCTTGACTGATTTTGCAATACTTTAAATTTTGTTCTGTGCGCCCGCCGCCCTTGGCTGATTTTGCCCCCGGGAGCAAAGAATGGCTCGCACATTCCTAAGAGGGCAAGAGGAGGGGGTGGCGATGGTTAAGGGAGAAGCTGGCTCTGGGTGTAACTATGCCAACTGTTGGAGGCAGGCAAAGGGAGGGTGGTCTTTTACGCGAGTTTGGGATCTGGTTACCTCTAATTCGCCCCAGAGGCCGTGTCTTGCCTAATGGGAGTCTGTCAACGGACAGCTCAGGTTTCCCCACTTGCCTGGATAGTGGAAGCAAAGGGGCAGACAGCAAAGTAGACCGCTCGGCCAGAAAGCAACGCGCCAAGCCGCTGGAGCTGGGGGTGCGAGCTCAGGGTGGGTGGTCACCGCGGGCTTCTCCGCATGCCCAGGGCGTGGTGGGAGAACTCAGGACCATGAGAACACTACGTTTCAAACCCCCATCTCGGATTATCCTTTCACGAGGTAGGGGGCTGGAATAGGTCCCGTGACCTCTTAGAAAAACCTGCTTTTCACACCTAAAATCGAATTGTTCAAAACCAAGCCAATTGCTGCAGGTATTTGAACACAACTGTTTCTCTGTCCAGAAGCCATTTAAAAAAATCTCCTTACGCGTTCTTAGTTCTTAACGGTTTATAAAATTGATTTTTTTCCCCACTGACACCAACTTACCTAATTCTGCAAACCCAAGCAACAAGCAGACTCCTCATTCTCATTGCAGAGATATGGAAATGCAGAGACTCAAAGAACCCAAGCAATTCGTGTCCAAGGTCACAGTCACGAAATGCCTAATCCTTGCTCAGGACCCTCTCTGCAAAGGCCTCTTTGATTCCACAGCTTCCTGTCATCCCCTCCCATGAAACACACACGCAAAGACACCCATGATGCGGTCTGGGCCCTCTGAGAATGCCCTTCCAACCTCCTCACCCACCCTCAGTGAGGAGAAGTCCACTAACTACTTCAAGCTGCAGTTTGCCACCAGCACAGGTACAGGTGGGGTCTGATGGACACACAGCTCTGGAACAGGCTTTCTTTCCGATCCCATTCTCCTCAGGACAGTTCTTCCAGGAACCCACGTTAAAATGACCCCACCCCCACCCCCAAACACACACACACACCCGCCTTTCCTGTCCCCTTTACTGCCAGAACTCTTCATATAAACCACGTAAAATTTAACTCTTAATTGCTTGCAAGTCGGTGTTTCCTCATCACTAAACTCTACTGCTTCCAATCTTTAAGGCAAACTCCCCTCGAGACCCAGTTCCTTGCAGGCCAAGGAAAGCAGCTTCTGGAGATGTGGCCTGTATGTCCCAGGCCCAAAGGATGAGCAAGAGTGTCTGCGGGCTCCGAGTCTGGGAGGCCCGGGAGGGCTGGAGTTGGACCCTCGGAGAATGGGGAAGTTTTCATCTGCTCGTCGCCCCCTGCAGGCCACATGTGTCATTGCAGCGAGAGCCCAGCCGGGCCCATGCATGCATTTTGCTTGTTCGTATTTTCTTGGACCTCTGGATCCACTCTCCATTCCCCGCGGAACTGCGTGCGGGACTGCGTCCCCACTCAGGGATTCGCCCCGGAATACTCTAAGGATCACAGGCGTCGGAACTAGACGGACTTTTTAGAAATGAGTGTCGGAGAAAATGGAAAACCAGTTCAAATTCGTGTGTAGCCAAAAGCTAAAATCTTCCCCATTAAAATAAACAAACAAAAAAATCAACTCGCTTCCTCCTTTTGTTATAAATAAACCTGCCTAAGTGGAGTAAAAAGCGGGTGTCAATCGTGTTGCTTTTAAATCTCCACGTAAGAGGGGATTTCAGTGCCTTTTGTCGCGGTGTCCGCGAACGGTCCTGAGTTTCAAGCGCCCCCCCCCCCGCCCCGCCCCAGTGCTAGCGTTCATTATATATATTTGCATTTTCCTTTCTGGTCTAAACATTCGCGGTTTAACAAAGCTTAAACCAAAAAGAACTTTGCAGAGGGGTACGTCCAGACCTCTCTCCCAGACATCTACCAGTACTTTGAACAGCTGCTGCCGGTGTGGGGTCTGGATCTCAGAGTCTCCTGTCTTCCAAGAAATAAGGGAAGAGGGCTATCCCCAAGCTAGCTCAAAGTTAGGAAGTAACTGGACTTTGTCAGCGGTTCTCCCCTCCTCTGCACCCCACCACTGCCTATGGCATTGCTGAGCCCTGCGGATCTTAAGCGGCGCTTGTGGCCGAGTGGCAAGCTGCGGGCGCAGGCTCGGCCGGCATTACTGCTATGCGCGGAAATATGAGTGAGTAATTTTATAAGTAACAAAGGATCAGGAATGGAATGAGGCCCCTGTTATCCAATGTCATTTAGAAGCCTTGGATCAGCAGCTTCTTGAGGCTAAAAGTGAATGCAAGAAGCCCTGCCTTTCCCTTTTCCCAGGAGTGTCAGCTATATTTAGAAATAACCTCTGTGTGTTTGCACAAATCATGTACCATTTGCTGTTTGTGTAAAAACCGATTAGCCAGACACAACTGTGAAACAACTTGTTACTTTTATAGCTGCAACACACAAACAAATTTAGATCCGTTTAGTTTTCCTTGCAAAAGGAGATTAGAAGGGACCCGCCCGGGAGGCCGTGTGGTCCAGGAGCTCTTCTCACAGCGCTTATCGGGTTCCTGTTTGTCAAATCCATCTCACCCCGCGGCAGCCTGTTGTACATTAGGACCCTGACCCAGAAGGAATGTTTACTCAGACACAACAATGTTTCCCGTTTACCAGTAAAAGATTCTGTATTCGTGAGGGGGGTCTTTCAAAGAGGGACTCCCTAGTCCAGGCCGACGGCAGAGAAACAAGGCTGGGATTCGAAGAATCTCCGCGAGCAGGAGGCGAGGGGGATGCCTGAGCCGGGGACCGTGGCCGTGTTTTGCAAACGGAACGAACGCAGGGCCGAACTGACCGTAGTGCCACCCGCTCCAGCTTTGCAAAGCGACTTCGCATAAGTAATTGTAACAGCTAAATTAATTACAAAATAATTAGAATTGATGCCATTTGAGGATACGTTGGTGGCGGTGGGAACCAGCCTCCGGAGTCTAGGTATTTCTTTTGTACCTTAATACTTTTAAGGTTGCAACAGCTGAAATGAACATTAAAAATAACCTCCAGGACATCTCCCCATTTCTGCCTTATGGTCTCTCATTTCACACTAACCGAAGCCTAAGGTGTACGTGTGTGTGTGTGTGTGTGTGTGTGTGTGTGTGTGTGTGTGAGAGAGAGAGAGAGAGAGAGAGAGAGAGAGAGAGAGAGAGAGAGGGAGAAGGTGGGAATGATATGCACCTGTTTTAAAAAGAATACTAAGGCCACGCTGTTTCCCTGGCCTTCCGAAAGACTGAGGGTTGGACGGAGAGGAGGCATGGAAGGAACGCTCCAGAAACTGAAATTATGTTGTAGATTGCCATAGAAAAGAGGCATCTTATTTGAAAATGTTCTTTAAGAATAAAACTATGTATTACCAATCAGGTTTATGGAATACAATTCCACTGCAAAGTTCAAAATGCCATAACATAATTTTTAGAATTTAAAAATCAGCTGAGTTTTTTCACCACTTTCACTTAAACAATCAAAATAATTCCAAAGACCTAAGTTTAAATGCTAAAATACGGGATGTTTTGTAATTTACATTTTGAAAAGATAATTTTAATGACCAAGAACTCTCATTTGGGAAATTTACATTGTGTAAAATAAGTCGATTTTTTTAATTTAAAAGATTTAATTGTTTAGACTAAGGTTATTAATAGCTTATTTTATCTACAGAAATATCTGGTCATTTGGATTTAATGAATTGATATGAACAAGATCATTGCCCACACCCGGAGTTTAAATAAAAACTAAAAGAAAAATATTAATACGATTTAAATTAACTTGTTCTTTCCTGTCTCCCAATTAAATTTTTCTTATGGTCAAATGATGAATTAGCAAACTTGTCGAATGTCTGGGAAAGATGAGATGCAAATACCATTTTAAAACCTTGTCCTTTGCCTCAGACACCGAAATGAAACACTAGGCTGAGCATTTTAAAAATTTATTTACAAAGTTGTGTACAACACGATGGAATAACATTTAGAATACATATATATTCATTCATATATAAACAGACTTTTATAATAGAATGACACTTCTCGCCTTTTGAAAATTTTTATATTTAAAATCTCCCAACGTCTCTATACATTTTCTCACATAAAACTGTGGAGAGTGAACCTTCAAAAAAATGAAAGTTCAGAGCTCTAAATCTACTGAATTCGTTTTTTTCTTAAAAAAATAAAAACCCCAAAAGGAAAGTCAGTAATTTTTATACAAATATGTACAAAGAATTTCCCTCCCAACCTCACGGTACTGAGAGCAGGCGCCGTCTGGGCACATTTTTGGAAAATTAGGTTTTCGGTTTTACCTGTACGGAAAGCTATTCCCGGCTGGAGGGCGCGCGCTGAGTTTGCTCCGACAGCCTAGGTGTGCGCGAGCGGGTGGCGGCTGCGGAGGTTGGTGCTGAGGGGTCGAAGGGAGGAAATGGAGGAGAGGCAGAGTCTGGGATTGGGCAGGTTGACCGCGACCGGGGCGGGGCGCCCAGCGGGGAAGCGCAGCTGCCGCCCCGGCCCCGCGTCCCGGCCACCGCGCGCCCCTATTGCGCGGGCCACTTGGCTTGCGCTGCGGCGGCGGCAGCGGCGGCGGCAGAAGCCGCGGGCTGCAGGAACTGTCCAGAGAGCGGCACGCTCAGAATAGGCGCTATGGTGGCCGTCGTCCGGCTCAGCGACAGTGGCTGGTGTGTGGCCATGAGCGCTGCTGATTGCACTGTCCCGGGCGGCCGAAGGAAGGACTGAGCAGCTGCCCCGCCGCCCCCGGTGCCCCCAGTTACCCCGGCGCCACCGGCGCCCGCCGCCGAACCCCCGGGCGCCGCGGGCCCCCCACCGATGATGTTCTCGATGCTGAACGACGGCCGTGCGCTGGGCTCGGACTTGATGAGCGAGGCCGTGGTGCCAGCAGCGCCAGCCGTGCCCGCGGCGGCCGCGGCAGCGCCCAGGCTGTTGAGCTGCAGCTGCAGGCCGGGGCCCAGCTGGGAGCCGAAGGCGGCCGCCTTGCGGCCCAGCTCGCCCGAGGGCAGTAGCGGCACCGCGGGCGGCAGCACCGGGGCCACCGGCGGCAGCGCGTACGGATACTGGAGCGCCGCGGCCGCCGCCGCCGCCGCCGCCGCAGCCGGGTGCGAGTAGGCGCCCGCCGCGGCCGCGGGGTGCAGGCCGTAGGGGCGGCCGTAGGGCCCCGCGGCGCCGGCGGCCGCGGCCAGGCTGTAGGCGCCGAAGCTCTGCATCATGAGCGCCGTCTGCTCGCGCAGGTGCTCCTGCTGGTGGCGCTTGAAGCGCTTCCGGCGCCGCAGGAAGCTGCCGTTGTCGAACATGTCCTCGGACTGCGGGTCCAGGGTCCAGTAGTTGCCCTTGCCGGGGTTGCCCGGCTCGCGGGGGATCTTGACGAAGCAGTCGTTGAGCGAGAGGTTGTGGCGGATGCTGTTCTGCCAGGCGGGGAACTTCTCCCGGTAGTAGGGGAAGCGGTTGCTGATGAACTCGCAGATGCCGCTCAGGGTCAGCTTCTTCTGCGGGCTCTGCAGGATGGCCATGGTGATGAGCGCGATGTACGAGTACGGCGGCTTCACCAGGCTGTTCTTGGGCTTGCTCGGGGTCAAACTGCCCGCCGCCCCGCCGCCCGAGCCGGGCCCGCCGCCGTTCCCGCCGCCCTCCTCGCCGCCCTTGCAGCCGTCGGCCTCGGACGCGCCCGCCTCGCCCCCCGGCCCGGCTCCGGCCGCCTCCTTGGGCAGCGCCCCCGGCTGCTGGTGCGGCGGCTGAGGCTGCCCGGGGTGCGGCGCCGCCGGCGTCACCTCGTCCGCCTCGTCCAGGCGCAGGTCCGGCGGCCCCGCGGGGCTTTCGCAGCCGGCGTCGCTGTCCTTCTCCTCCAGCCCGTCGTCGCCTTCGCCCACCACATCGATGTCCACATCCTCGGCCGTCAGCACCGTCTGGCCGGACATGTCGCTGGCGCTGCCGCCACCGGAGAGGGTCATCCCTCCTCGGGGTTGGTGGCGGCCGCGGGGAAGAGCGGCGGGCAATGAGGGTCGTCGGGAGCTGCCGCCGAGCTCAGGGGAAGGGGGTCTGGGCGCCCCCGGAGGACGGGGAACCGGGAGAGAGGAGCGAGCGCTGCCGGCCCGGGGCCCTTCTGGCTGGGCTCACACCCCGCGGCCAGGCATCGCGCGCCGAGGGCACTGCCGTCCGCCCTCCGCGGCCGCGCCCCGCAAACTCCGGCCGTCGCGGGCTCCCCGTGCTGGGCGCTCGCTGCCTCTCCCGGCTCCGGAGGGTCCTCCACGCCGCGGCCCCTCACTTCGTCTTTCTCCGGCCTCTGGGCCGGGCGTGGAGAGCAGGGGCAGTGCAGGCGGGCCCGGGACGCGGGGCGCCGGGCGGCTCGGGAGGGCGCGGACAGGGGCAACCGGGGGAGGGGGTGTCAGGGCCGCGGAAGCCCCCGTAGTCGAAAGTCCGGTTTTAAGGACTGGTCTGATAGATTACTTTCTACTTAAAGATCCAGCGGGAGGCGGGGCCACGTGACCGCGCGTGACGTCAGGGCCGCGGCAGTGCCGGCCAAACTCAAGTTGGTTCAGGGAATTGTCAACAAAGGGACAAGGGACGCGCAACTCCGCGCCGCACCGTGCGCCGGCATCCCGCGGGCACCGAGGGCGCCTTGGCCTGCCCACAGACCTCGGCTGAGGCTGGAACCCAGCGCAGGGGTCGGTGGGTGTGAGCGAGCGAGGGCGTGGGCCTGGGAGTGTCCGCGGGACCTGGACCAGGCAGCTCTTGTTGCCCTGCCCTCGCCGCGCCCTCTCCCTTGCCCTTTACCCCCTTCTACCAAGACTTCTTGGGCAGGGACTGGGCAACTTAGAACGAGATTCCCATCCCGTCCCTCTTTAAAAAAAAAACAAAAAACTTAGTCTGTTTTGTTTTTTCTTTTTGATTCTTTTAGCTTTAAAGAAGTAGAGCTGCACATCCGGCTCCGTTTTGCTAATTAGACTTCAGACACCCACCCCTCTTGCCTCAGGGCTTATTCGGCGGAAACACCTCCTAAGAGGACGCTCTCTCCCTCCCCACAAAAACCTGACCGCCGGCTTTGCCTTCTCAGTTTGAAATGGGCGTGCTTAATATATATATATATGTATGTATTTTTCCCGCGTCCAGAACAGCATCAGCTGGGGTTCCCGGAGGTCAGAAAATGGCTATTGATTAATCTATTAGAATATTTGCCGAGAGAAATAAAAATGGCGTAAAATAACAGGGAACCTATAAATAAAGAAGCCATAACTAGCGGCTCCGAGTTGTTAAATGACTTAGCATGTGAAAAAATCGGAAGTGAGGTGCTGGGGAAAGAGCCGAGATTGGCAGCGGCCTGGGTAAGTCGAGTGCGTCAGTAAAGAGGCTTCGGCCTGTAGGTTGGACGCCGCGCCCTCGCTGGGCCGGCAGAGGGACGAGCGGAGACCGCGGTGCGACTTCCCAGGCGGCTGGGCAGGTCTTTTGGGGGTGGGGGCAGCTTGGGGCTTGCCGGCGGGCTAGGCTCTCAGTTGCTAACTAATATGGATTCTTTCCTCTTAAGACTTAGATAAACCTTCCACGATTTAACTTCCTCGGAAATCAGCAGCAGCACGGGTGGAAGAGGCGAGGATGCGGCCAGTGCGCGCCGAGTTTCCCTGGCATGAAAAGTCAGTGATGGTAGGAAAGACTGGGGGTTTGAGAGGGGGGTGCAGCAAACCGCCCGAAGTGCGTTGCGTTACATGGGACGCATGGACTGGGCAATTCCAAATAGTGCTTCTGCCCTGGTGAATCCGAGATGCGCCATCTCTTCTTCCCTTCTGCATTTCCAGGCCGCCTCATAGCGAGCCGTGAGTCCCTGCCAGGTGTGGTGGCCTTCTGGAAACCAACCCAAGTCTGTCCACTGAGGCCTGGGAGGGGAATGCCGGCCTCACCAGAGGAAAGAGCCAAAGGGGAGGAGATCCGAGAGAAAATAATTAATGAAATATTTGCAGAAGACATCAGGAAACCGATTTAATTCCTTGTGAACTGTGGTATTCTGATTCCCTCAGACTGTCTCTCTCACCTACAACCTCCTCTTTTCTTGGTCTAGACAATGCCCCTCCCCCATCGGTAAACTTTATTACAGGCAGCTTGACACTCGGTGACTTTTATCTCCATTAGATAATTTCCTGCATGTAACCTTAGCGCATTGGCTCCCCACTTCCCAAGAGTTCCAGGTTGGGGCTAGGAGAGTGGGGGCAGTTATTCCACCCGGAGACACTTGTGAAACTTTAAGGTTTTTCTGTACCTTAATAATTCCCCGATTGCACCTGACCCTAAAATGCATCTCGTGAGTTGATCTCAGCCGCCGCGCTGCTCTGGGGCCCGCAGCGTCCAAACCGTGTACAGTGCCATCTAGACAGCCTCCCGTGACCCTGACCACAGTGGCGAGCTAGCCTCCCACCGCCCACAGCTGCAGAGGTCGTGGCTGCCACTGTCCGAATAACCGAATTATCACAGAAGGAAGGTTAGAAGGACAAAAAAGGAAACAAGAATTTACAAATTTAGACATTCCTTTTGCTCGGCTCCGGTTCCCAGCCCCAGAGGCTGCCGTGATCCGCGCAGCGCAAGCCACAGTCCACCCGAGCTGCTGTGGACGAGTGCAGCGCGCGTGTGCGTGCAGAGGAGGGTGGCAGCTCCAGAGTCAGCCCTCCTCAGTCTGCCTGAAGTAGCCTCTAAATGAGCCTAATTTCGGTTCTGCTGCCCGTCAGGGCTGGCTCTCAGGACGCCCTCGGCGCTGTTGGTCGCTGCCTCTCACTTCCCCCGGCCAAGACCTAGCTGGATCCAGCCATTCCCCGGTGTCTCTTTGTAACCTCCCTGGGGAGCAGGGGGGGCGGGGAACAACTCCCAGCCGCCAGTTCCATTTGTTGCGCTTTTTTCCTTCGACACAATAAAAGTCAAATTAATTGATTCATACCATTAATTACGGCGCGTAGCGTGAAAAGCAACGCTTCCCCTCGGTTAGAGATCTATTGTGCTAATCTCTTGTTCAATCAGTGTTACCATCTGATGCTGGGTCTGGCCCTTACAGAAACTTTTCAACTCGATTAGCTAAATGATGAGACGTACAGGACCTACTGGCTTCGGCCTCGACGTCTGGCGCCGGCGCGGGCCCATCCGCTTAATATCAATTTCCAGTGGGGGCAGCGGGTTTTCCCGCTGCCACTCTCGGCTGGGGAACCCGCCGCGGCTTTCCTCCTTCCGAGAGAACTGTAGCACCCGCGCAACCTCTCGGGGAGGGAAGGAGGCAAGAAACTGCCCTGGTGGGAAGAGGGAAGGTCGCCTTGGGGGGAAGGGCCCGGGCGCGCACGCACAGGGTCCTGCCCGAGATCGACTACATCCCAGGCTAAGTAAATCTTGTTTGCCGAGGAATTGCATTTTGTAGCTAAAAACCCAGAAGTCCTTAGTTACCGCCAAACTTAGGCAAAAGAGAGATGGAAGAAGCAAGACGTACAGAGAGAAAGTGACACGGTACTCGGAGGGGGGATGCGATAGAGGGAACGGAAATACTGGGAGGGGAGTGAAATGTGGCTCCGAGTCGCAAATGGCTACTGGGGGGGAGAAAGGGAGGGATACACACACGCGCGCACGAGGAGGGAGAGTGACTACTTGGGCCACAAGCAAACTTCCCAGGAGGGATCTAAAGAAGATGGAAGCCCGTTGCTCACCTGTTCAAATGTTTGAAAATGTTCAGCCATAGGAGAAGGGAATGAGGCTTCTCCTGGGCCGGGCGGAGCCCGTGGTACCGAGCTGGGGAAGCCACCGGACGCGCCGTCGGAACGGGGGTTGGCGAGAGCGATGGAGGGGGCCCGGGTTCTAGCAACAGGGAACAGGAAAAGCGGAATCCGGATCGATTGGAAGGAAATTGAGACGTCTCGGGGGAAGGGAGATTTTGTGAGCGTTCTGGGGGATGAGATGGGGGTGGGGGGGGACAAGTGGAGGGAACAATTCATGATAGAGAAGGGAAATTGATTACAACTGAATTTGCGTTCTCAAGTGGTCAAAATGAAGGAGGGGCGCGGCCAGAGTGCTGGAGGCGAGAATGGCCCATCCACCCGTCTCCAGCCCGCAGTAAACACAGGTGCCCCCTTCCTCCTCCTCTAAGTCAGAGACTGTGCCAATGACTTGCGTAAATCGTTGGCCCAAAATGAGATAGAATCATGCCCGCACGCGGGTGCTCTTTTCTTAGAATCGGGGGAGATGAGACCAGGTTCTGCACAGTGAGGGGCGCTTTCCCCAGCGAGAGCAGCCACCCTCTATTGCAAAGGAAACAAAACGCGGGTGGAGCACATTTGGAATGAACCCCGCTTCTCCTCCCCCAAGAACCAACGTCTGCTCCTTTTTTGACAGTCTTCATAGGTTTGTTAAGATATTATCAGCCTGTGCCTGGATGGCTGCCACCAAGGGAGGTGGGAAGGGCTGAGATGATGCCCCGGTCCCCAGGTCCCCAACCCACCCATATTATTTCACTTTTCAAGTGGGTAGCATTTTCAACTCACCACCACCACCACCCTTGTATAGCTCTCCAGATCTCTTCAGGGCAGGGGAGGGGGATGGGGGGAATGACTAATTTAATGTTCTTGTTTAGATTTGCATCTGAAAACTTCAGTTATTTTCAGGGTGTCTGCTATTCATGCCAATAAGTTCCTGTAAATGGCGAGAGACCAAAGGGAAAGGAGGAGAGAGAAAAGGAGAGAGGGGATGGTTTGGAATTTATTTATATTGGAAATGTATAAACATCCATTCTGTAAAAGGCAACACGTTTAATTAACGATGAGAGAGCAGTTAGGGGCAGGAAGCTAGTAAAATTGTGTGATAAATTTATGGCATTGTTAGCGTGCTTTTAATTATGGCTATTATGTTAATTATTTCACATTAGCATGGAGTTATCAGCAGCATGTCAGATTTAATCAAAACGAGCCTTTCTCTAGAAAATTGTTCTTTTCATCCGCGAGGAGAAAGGTCTCGGGCAGGACTGGGGCTTAAAAATGACTTGGCATTGAAAGCTCGCATCTTTCCGACACGGTTTGGTGCGATGCGGCCCGGCCCGGCTGTCTGCTGGG